TCACCAAAACTGCCGCTCTGATTTCGTACGTCCGAAGGAGCCACTTTGTGAAAAATAGGCCAAACAATTTGGTTTTTAGATTCTTTACAATCAAGGATGCACACCAGCTCGTCCAAGCACCACTTCGACGATGCATAGTTTTCAGAGAACACGACGATGGAAGTCATCGACTCTTGGATTGTTTTGAAAAGTGTTGGTGCAACTTCTTCTCCTCTTCTAAGCTCATCATCTATGAAGGTGTTAAGACCCCTTCGGCACAAAGCAGTGTACAAATGGCCAGTGAAGTTGTTACGTGTATCTTCGCCTCTAAAACTCAAGAACACATCGTAACTCCACCGGTTTGGGGTAAAGGAAGAGGACGAGGAAGAGTCTCTTTGGTTGCTCAGCCAAGCCATATGTAATTACACCTCAAGGCCTCAAATAAAGCTGATGGACTGAGAATATGTATATATGTATATATATATATATATATATATATATATATTAAAGGTAAAGGCTTGGAAAAAAACAAAAATAGAGGGAATTTAAAAATAATAAATGAAAAAAGTCAATGAGGCAACCTGATTCCCGCGTTTTATGACATAAACATATGCGTGGCGTAGGCTATATAATCTTTAATTATATGCGAATATTTTAAAACTATAGCCGCACGGCTATACTATCTAAATCTCGAACATTATAGCAGTGTAGCCACGTGGCTATACTGCACAAAATTGTTTTCTTTTTTATAATTAAGTAATATCTTAGTTTTTATAATTATTTTAATTACTAATTATGTTTTAATTATTATTGAAATATTTTATTAATTTCATAAATTACTTAATAAACATAAATTAATTATTTTAAATTAGTTTGTGGACTTTGGTTTTTATTTTTTTTAATGCAAAATTAGTTTGTTTAGTTTAATATGTGCAATTTAGTACATCCCTGTTTTGTATACGTCTTAAAGATTAAGTAAAATTCAAGTTTTTTTAAAAAGCAAACTTACAATACTCGTATTGAATAAGTATGTACATATTTTTCATTTTTAATATACATATTTTTTACAAAATTTTCAATAATACACACAAAATTCACGTATTGTACATATAATTATCACATATTATTGAATACAAATAATATAAATTTTTAAAAAATTAAAAATTTATGTTAAAAAAATTATATTGTGGCCAAACTTTTAAGTTATAATTTGTCAAAATTTTTCAGAATAAAACACATATGTATTTTATTCATATAGCCATGCGGCTATATCAAATTAAGTATAAACTAATGCAACTAGGAGGGTATTTTTTTTTTTATATACTAAATAGTATGGCCGGCGGCTATACTATGGTTTTTAAAATTAAAAACACAGCTATACTCTTTTGACACACGGCACTAGGCAGGTACAGTTTTTTATTTATTTAAATAAATCGTATAGCCAGGCGGCTATACTCGGTTTTTCAAATTTTTTTTTTATAATAAATAGTATAGTCGCGCGGCTATACTCTGTTTTTTCCCAATTTTTTAAAAGAAATAGTATAGCGAAGCAACTATACTCGGTTTTTCTATTTTTAAAAAAGAAATAATATAGTTGCGCTGCAATACTCGGTGTTTTTTAATTTTTAAATAGTATAGGCTGTTTTTTTTATATTTAAAATTCTTAATGAATAGTATAGTTAAGTGGTTATAATCTTTTTTATATATATTGGGATCCTTTTTTCTTTATAATTTTTTTCCTAATTTTTGTTTATCGATAAAAGTATGTTAGAGCATTATTTATTACTATTAGGCCATTACTCGAGTCTCTATTATCCCCTTTTGATTTTTCACTTTTCCAGAGTTAATAATTTAGCAATTTCACGTTTAATACTATATTGTACACGTACATACCTATTTTTCAGTAATACATTCGTATTTTTTATCTTTAATACATGTATTTTTCATAAAATTTTCTATAATACACACAAAATTCACTTATTATATGCATAATTCTCACATATTATTGAATACAAATAATATAAATTTAAACATGAAAATAAATTATATTAAAATATTATATAGCGGCCGACCTTTTAAGTTGTAATTTGTCAAAATTTTGCATAATAAAACACGTACTTATTTTATTTGTATAACCGCCCCGCTATACTAAATTAATATCTATAAGTATAAAGTATAAACTAATGCAACTAGGAGGGGCCTTTTTTCTTAATGTTTTTTTATATTAAATAGTATAGCCGCGCAGCTATATCACGGTTTTTAAAATTAAAAAAAAAATAGTATAGCCAAACGACTATTCATTTTTAACACGTGCACGACTAGGCGCTATGCGGGTCCCCATTTTCTTGAAAAATAAATAGCTATACTCGGTTTTGTCAAACATGTTTTAAAAAAATAGTACTGTCGGGAGGCTATGCTCAGTTTTTTCGCGGCTATACTCGGTTCTTTAGTTTTTTATACCCGTTTTTTAAATAATTTTTTTTTATAAAAATAGTATAGCTGCCCTTTACTCGTTATTTTTTTTTTTTTTTTTTTTTTTTTTTTTTTTTTTTTTAAAATTTTTTTTGAATAGTATATCTGAGAGGCTATAATCTTTATATATATATATATATATATACGGGATCTTCTTTTTCTTTTATATTTTTTCCCCAATTTGAGTTTATCCATAAGAGTAGTTTAGAACATTATTGATTACTGTTAGGTCATTACATGAGTCTCTATTGTCCCCTTTTGATTTTGCACTTTTTCAGAGTTAGTACTCGTATAAAGTATCATCTTTAACATTGTATTATACACGTACGTACCTATTTTCAATTATACATCCGTGTTTTGTATACGTCTTAAAGACTCCGTAAAATTCACATTTTAAAAAAAACAAACGTACAATACTCTTATTGAACAAGTACATACATATTTTAACAGTATATTTGCGCGTGCTATACTCTTTAAATTTCAAATATTTTAACCACAAAAAAAAATCCACAAAATAATTTTAAATAATTAATTAATATTTATTAAGTAATCTATGAAATTAATAAAGCATCTTAGCTAAATCCAGCCTCAAACCTTTCTCAAGCCTCAGAACCTAACCATAATACTACTATAGGGCACTTATGCTATTTGCAATTCAAGATTAGCCTACATATATAAACTCTTCGTCATAGAAATCTTTCACATTAAACCCATCTGCAATGGACTCTTGTTCTTTAATAAAAGGTTGATAGTAGGGCATTTTGGCATTTAGTTTAATAGGTAGCAAACCCATAAAGATGCCCGTCGCAAACAAGAAGATATTGACTTGACGAAGAAATTATTTTAAAGAAAAAATGAGTTCCTATATCTCTCTTCGTGGACGTAGCCTATTCGAGTGACCTACAAACGTATTGAACAAGTACATACGTATTTTAACAGTACATCTACACTGCTATACTCTTTAAATTTCAAATATTTTAACAAAAATTAAAAAATAAAGTCCACAAAAAATTAAAAAATAAAGTCCACAAAATAATTTTAAATAATTAATTAATATTTATTAAGTAATTTATGAAATCCATAAAATATCTTAGCTTTTTTAATTACTTTAATTAGTAATTATGTTTTAATTATTATTTCTTTAATGAATATTTGCAATAAGTAATATCTTAGCCTTATTTAATTATATTAATTATTATTTATGTTTTAATTACTCTTTATTTAATGAATAGTTAGTATTTAAGTATTTTAATCAATTTCATAAATTAATTAATAAATACTAATTAATTATATTTACTGGTCTTAAATAATTTTGTGGACTTTAAAATTATTTTAATTTCCAAATATATTTTTAAAATAGTTTCAATTATTAGAATATTATTTTAGTATTCCAAAAATGGATTTGAGCCTCTAAACGCTAAATCCAGCCTCAAACCTTTCTCAAGCCTTGAAGCCTAACCACAAGACTACTATAGGGCACTTATGCTATTTGCAATTCAAGATTAGTTTGCATATATAAACTCTTCATCATAAAAACTTTCACATTAAACCCATCTGCAATGGACTCTTGTTTTTAAATAAAAGGTGATATGTAGGGCATTTTGGCATTTAGTTTAAGAGGTAGCAAACCCATAAAGGTGCCTGTCGCAAACAAGAAGATATTGACTTGGAGAAGAAATCATTTTAAACAAAAAATGAGTTCATACATCTCTCCCCGTGGATGTAGCCCATTCGAGTGAACTACATAATCCATCAACACATGATGAAGGCCTTAGCCTACCAAACACACACACCCTAAGGCCCTCACCTTCCATCTAACCTTGCTAAAGGACCTCAGCGCCCGAAGACATCAAGTTGATTCAATTTTTGTTGTTAGCAGTTTGACATCCTCTATGAGAATCAAACACAAGAAACCTTGGTTGTTCCTACTAAAATATGAAAACTATGAGAGAATATTTGTTTGTGGAAATTTTCTGTGTATTCTTCTTCTTGTAGAAGGTCATATTTATAATACAATGAAACCTGAATGGGCAAGTAAATAATAAATTCCTAAATCTATTTACAGTAGGAAATCATGAATTAAAGTAAATCAATTACAATTATAATAGGAATTCTTGGTGTGTAAGGAAAGTAAGTCAACATCCACAAGTCACGCCAACATTCTCTCTCATGTTGATGCATAGATGTCGCTAATGCCCAACTGATTCAGTGAATTGCGGAATGCTTTACCAGAAATCTCCTTTGTCAAAATATCCGCCAATTGATCCTCGGATTTCACAAAAGGAAACTGAAACACCTTAGCCTCAAGCTTCTATTTGATGAAGTGTCGATCCACCTCAACATGTTTAGTACGATCATGCTGAACCGGATTCTGTGTAATGGCTATAGCAGCCTTGTTGTCACAAAAATAGATTCATTGTGGATGAAGGTTTAAACCCAAGTTCAGTAAGCAACTTTCTTAACCAAAGAAGTTCACAAATCCCTTTAGTCATGCCTCTGAACTCGGCTTCTGCACTGGATAAAGCTAATACATTCTGTTTCTTGCTCCTCTATGTCACCAAATTACCTCCCACGAATGTGAAGTAACTCGATATGGATTTTCCATTTGTTAAATTACCTGCCCAATCTATATTTGAATAACCATCAATATTTAGATGACCATGCTTTGAGAACGTAAGTCCTTTTCCAGGTGCAGACTTCAAATATCTAAGAATCCAAAGAACTGCATTCATGTGGTCTTCACTTGGAGAGTGCATAAATTGACTGACAACGCTCACCGCATAAGCAATGTCTGGTCGAGTATGTGACAAATAGATCAATCTTCCCACTAACCTTGGGTATCTTTCTTTGTTAGTTGGAACTTGATCTGGATATTCACCAAGATGATGATTATAAACAATAAAAGTGTCTGCAGGTTTGCAATCTAGCATTCCTGTGTCTGTCAACAAGTCCAAGACATATTTATTTTGAGAGAGAAATATGCCTTGCTGCGATTGAGCCACCTCAATTCCCAAGAAATACTTGAGTCCACCTAAATCCTACATCTCAAACTTAATAGCCAAATAGTCTTGTAGCTGTGATATTTCCTGTTTATCATTTCCAGTAATAACTATATCATCAACATAGATTATTAATGTTGTTACCTTCCCTTTCCGATGTTTCAAGAACAGAGTATGATTTGAGTTACACTCTTTGAAACCATTTTTCTTCATTGCCACAGTGAACCGTCCAAACCATGCACGTGGTGACTGTTTCAATCCATACAATGCTTTTCGTAACTTGCAAACTGTTCTAGTCTGAGTAGTATTATATCTAGGAGGAATGTCCATGTACACCTCCTCTGTGAGTTCGCCATGTAGAAAAGAATTCTTTACATCAAACTGGTGTAGTGACCAATCCAAATTAGCTGCAAGGGACAAGACTCTGACGGTGTTTAACTTTGCAACTAGTGCAAAGGTTTCTTCATGTCTATACCATAGGTCTGTGTGTACCTTTTGCCATAAGTCTTGTCTTATATCGCCCGACAGATTCATCTACATTGTGTTTTATAATAAACACTCATCTACATCCGATAGTCTTTTTTCCTTGTGGTATAGTCTCCAATGCCTAAGTTTGATTTTTCTCAAGAGCTTTCATCTCTTCTTTTATAGCTTGTACCCACTTAGGATCTTTCAATGCTTCAGAAACCTTGGTTGGAATATGGATAACAGACAACTGATGCACAAAAGCCTTGAGTGGTTCAGACAACTTCTCAATGGATACGTGATTTGCAATTGGATACTTAGATGTCTTGCCAATATTAGGTGAATAACGGTTTGGTGGCTTCCCACGATTTTGCCTTAAAGGTAATTGATATCCAATAGTGTTATCCTCTAAATGCACAAGTCTAGTAGGAGTAGTTACCTTAAAGATATTCTCAGGAGATTGGTCCGTTGGTACTGTTGAGTGAAAGAGGGGTCTTCATCTTGTTGTTCTGAATTGTCTATAGGAGTATGACTTGAATCAAAAACAGCTTCATAAGGGTTAGGTGATCGATCGTTGTTTGGTAGAGAGCATTCGCACGTGCTAGACTCTGGATCATTAATTGTTATTGTTTCTTGGCTGAGAGCAATCTTCATGCATATATGAATATCTTCGTTTTCCAAGCTGCTCCAATTTAGCTCTTCACTCTATATCTCCCCCTGAAGAGTAGAATTGGATGCTGGGTCATAGAAGAACATCTCCGATTCCAAAAAGGGGACATCCAAAGTGAAATAGGTTCGTTGGGTAGGAGGGTGATAACATCTGTAGCCTTTCTGATGAGTGGCATAACCCAAAAAAATACAACGAAGCACACATGGATCAAGTTTGCTTCGTTGATTTTTGTGGAGATGAACGAAGGCCACACAGCCAAAAATGCGAGGGTAAGCACCAAAACAGAGGGCAGAGGCCCGTGTTGTGCAAGCACTTGTAATGGAGTTTTGAAGTTCAAAACCCCATAAGGCATGCGGTTGATAAGGTGGATAGCAGTGACGACAACATCATCCCAGTGACAACGAGGAACATGGCCACCAATGAGAAGAACAAGGGCTGTTTCGAGGAGATGACGATTCTTCCGTTCGGCAACACCATTTTGTTATGGTGTTTGGGGGCAAGTTGTCTCATGAATAATGTCATGTGTCTGAAAGTAAGTATGAAAATCATGATTAACAAATTCTCCACTGTTGTCAGAGCGAAGAATCTGTATTCAAGCATTGAACTGTGTTTCCATATGTTTGTGAAAGGATTGGAACAGGGAAAACACTTCATTCTTATTTTTCATCAAATAAAGCCATGTCATCCGTGTACAATCATCTACGAATGTGACAAACCAACGAATACCGGAGTGAGTAGAAATAGGTGAGGGTCCCTAAACATCAGAATGAACTAAAGCAAAAGGAATAATACTTTTATTCATACTTAAAGGATAGGATGCTCTATGACTCTTGGCTAAAATGCAAGTGTTTAAAATAACTCGGGCAATAAGTGTCTCATATAACCAAAAGATGGATGCCCCAAACATCGGTGCTAGAGCCAAATATGTCAGTGCTTGTCATCAGACGGATGCTTCACACTGTTGGCACGTCTCATACTGAAGTCATCCACATAGTACAGCCCCCCTCTTTTAGTACCACGCCCAATGATATCTTTTGTGAGAATATCCTGTAATAAACAAAAATTAGGATAAATTAATGCACAACAATGTAGTTGTTCAGTTGCTTGGCTCACAAACATTAATTTATTGGACAAAGATGGAACGAGTAGAGTATTAGAAAGGGACAGATAAGGTGAAAGGGCGACAGTGCCGGCCTCTGTCACAGGATATGTAACTCTATTTGCATTGGCAATACTTGTGCGGCGGGGTGTAATGGTGTGCAAAAAATCATTTGGATCAAAGGTCATATGATTAGTGGCGCTAGAATCAATTATCCAACCAGTAGTATCTCGTAGATCAGAAGTATGAAATGCATAACTGCATTTACCTGAGACATCTAGAAGCAAGGGACTATCCGTAGGGTCTACCTGCGAGAAGAAGGCTATTTGGGGTTCGGTAGAGACAAGAGCAACACAGCCAGAATTACTAATAGTTTCTTTGAGCTTGCGAGTGCAAAGGTCCTCCCACCAATCTGGATAGCCATTCAACTTAAAACAGGTGTTGCGGGTATGTTTGGGGTTGCCACAGTGCGTGCAACCACTTCCATCAGTCGGAGCCTTGGGATGGGAATGTGGGATGGTTTTAGGAGGTGGCGCACCAGCAGTAGTAGCATATGACTAGATCTAAAGGTGGGCTGCAAGAGAGAAATTATGGGGCTGTTTGGCACGAGTAGGGGGACCTAATCGAGGCGCACTTTTGGCCACTAAGCCAGCGCTAGTGGGTGCAGATGAACCCATCATCACAGCTTGTCGAACATTTTCACGACGAACATAGGCATAAGCTTAGTCCATAATAGGGAATGGAGTCATGTGAAGAACATCACTTCGGGCCTTATCAAGATGATCATCAAGGACATCCAAAAATATGTAAACTCGATCTTTCTATAGAATATCATTATAGTGCTTGATATCACTTTCATACTTTATCATATTTGGATGACGGAAATCAATCTCTCTCCATAAGCTTTGGAGAGTATTGTAATAGGTTTCAATTGAGCCGTCAGCTTGTCGCATACGAGAGACTCGTCGTTTCAAATCATAAACCTGAGAGGTGCCAGTGCCATCATAGTAAGTTGTGGCAATTGCATCCCACACTGCTTTTGCCGTCGGAAAAGAAATGAAATTGCCAATAAAGCTCTGCTCCAGAGAATTGATGAGCAATCCATTCACAATAGAGTTCTCAGTGCGCCAACAAGGAAATGTTGGAGTGATCGAAGGAGGTTGTGGAAGATCACCATTAATATATCCCAATTTGTCTTTGCAGGAGATATACAACTCGATAACTGGACAACTTCCAGTGTATACAATATTCCACATAGAGTGAAACAATAATGATACCTGAAGCTTCACTAGGTTTGACATAAAGTGTTGCTTCACTAGAGCTCTTCTTGAAACCTGCCTTGCTGAAATAGGAATCTATCTCATCATACCAGGCTCTTGGAGCTTGCTTCAAGCCATACAAAGCCTTGTTCAACTTATACACCTTGGTTTCTTCGTTTTTCTTCACAAATCCTTGTGGCTGCTCAACATAAACTTCTTCCTTTAAAACTCCATTCAGAAAAGTAGACTTTACATCCAATTGATATAAGTTCCATTCCTTCTGTGCAGCAAGTGCTATCAAGGTCCTAATAGTGTCCAACCTTGCTACTGGAGCAAATGTTTCATTGTAGTATATTCCAGGTTTTTTGGGAATAGCCTTTTGCTACTAGTCTGGCTTTGTTTTTCTACACAGATCCATCAAGATTCAATTTGGTTTTATAGACCTACTTAACACCAATGATTGGCTTGTTAAATGGTCTGTCAACTAGCTCCCATGTGTTGTTTTTCTCAATCATTTCCAGCTCAGATTTCATTGCATTTTCATGACTCATCTAGAGCAGCTTCTTCATAGCTCTCAGGTTCTACAATGCACATGTTACACTGAGCCATGATCTCATTGATGCTTCTCCATTTCTGTGGTGTGTGATCAATTGCTTGAGAGTTTTCAACCATATCCTCACTCTGTGGTGTAATAACTTCATCCACTTGAGTTGATGTATCCAAGGATTGACTTTGTTACAGACTTCAAATTGCTTATGTCCTTCACTGCAGCTTGCCATTTGATTCTCAGCAAACATTGGGACTCTCATTTCACTTTTATCAGTGTTCTCCCACTTCCATGAAGCATTCTCATCAAAGAGTACATCTCTGGACAAGATGATCTTACTGGAACTTGGATCAAACACCTTGTACCTTTTTTCACAGAGTCCATAACCCACAAAGATATGCCTTAGTGTTGAAGGGACGTGTACATAGCATAGTGATCCAAAAATCTTCAGATGTGCAATACCTGGTTTTCTGCCAGTGTATGCTTCAAATGGAGTTACCTTCTTGAGAGACTTTGAGGGACATCTATTAAGTATGTAGACTGCAGTGTTCACAGCCTCTGCCCAAAACTTGTAAGGAAGACCTTTTTCATGCAGCATGGATTTTGCCATTTCCACCACCGTTCTATTCTTCCTCTTAGCCACTCCATTCTATTGAGGAGAATATGCCATAGTTAACTGTCTTTGGATCCCAAGTTCATTGCAATACTTGTTAAATTCATTTGACAAAAATTCTCCACCCCTATCACTCCTTAAGCTTTTCACCATATATCCACATTGTCGTTCAGTCATAGCTTTGAACTTCTTGAAACATTCAAATGCATTTGACTTGTTCCTGATAAAGTATACGCATGTCATTCTGGTGCAATCGTTTGTGAACAACAGAAAGTATCTATTTCCTGAGATAGATTCAATTTGCATTGGTCCACAGATGTCCGTGTGAACCAATTCCAATGGAAATTTAGCTCTCCAAGTAGATTTTGATGGAAAAGAATCTCTATGTTGCTTTCCTAGTATGCAACCTTCACACACAACAGAAGTTTTCTCCAAATGAGGCAACCCATGAACCATTTCTTGATCTTCAAGTAGTCTGATGCTTCTGTCATTTAGATGCCTTAATCTCTTGTGCCATATCTACAGATAGTGTGTCACACTTGCCTTCAAGGCCAACTGATTTGCAGGCATCATTGTAAGAGGAAAGAACCTGTTGTTTGTCATTTGAACTCTAGCAACAAGATTGTTCAGTGACCAACCATAGAAGATGTTTACGACATTTCCTCCAAACACCAGATAGTACCCATGCTCCACCATATGTCCAACACTAAGCAAATTCTCTTCAAGTCCATGAACAAGCATCACTTCTTGAATGTGCTTCCTTCCCAATTTGGTCTCTATCACAAGAGTTCCTTTTCCTGCAACCTGAACAATTTCTCCAGTTCCCATCTTCACCTTGGAAGTCAGGTTCCTTTGAATGTTAACTAATAACTTGTCATCACCTGTCATGTGGTTACTACAACCACTATCAATGGTCCATGAATGGTCACATTTGTCACATCATTACATGCATAGAACAAAGTACTAGTTTCTTCAACCTGGTTTGCATAGTTCACCTTCTGTATAGTTTTATTTCCATTGCAGTCTCTGAGCACATGCCCAAACTTCCCACAACTTGTGCATTTAGGCTTCCCTTCAAACCAACACTTGCCATAATGCAGTTTATCACAGTGTTTACAAGTTGTTTTGTATCCATCATTGGAGACATTTGGTTTGGAAGTAGAATTAGGCTTATTATCTCATTTCTTTCCTTTGGATTTCCAGTTTTTCTGAGATTTTTGATTTCCAGAATTACCTCCACCCGTAGGATTTTTACCTCCAACGTTTAGACTAGCAAAAGCCCTTTCTGTAGAGTCTTCAGCATGTCTATCCAATATGAGCTCAAAGCTTTTCAAAGAAGCAACTACCTCTTGAACCTCAAGAGTTTCAAGGTCCTTAGAGTGTTCAATCATAGAGCAAATAGGGTCATATGATCTAGGCAAACTAATCAACCATTTTTGCACAACTCTTTCCCTAGACAGATCCTCACCATAACTCTTCATTTGATTCATTATATCGAACAGTCTAGCAAGGTATACGGATAAGGACTCACTATCTTTCATATGAGTGTATTCAAATTCGCAACGCAAACCTTGTAATTTTACGCTCCTTACTTGCTTATCTCCTCTGAACTCTTGCTTCAGAATGTCCCAAGCACCCTTTGAGATCTCCTCGTTCACAATTCTGGGGAAGATTTGATCTGAGATGGCACCTTAGATCAACCCAAGTGCGCGAGCATCCTTCATCAGAATTTCAGCCATCGTAGGCTTCTCCACTTCAGCGACCTCACTCTCTTCTATCTTCTTCTTCTCCTTCTTTGGATTTGAAGCATCGAAACCATTTTCAACAAGATCCCACAACCCATGAGATTTCAGAATGGTTTTCATCCGAATACTCCAGAACTTATAATTTTCTCCATTGAAAATTGGTGTGCGAAGCTTAGTGGTGCCCGATCCTGCCATATTAGACATTGGATTCAAGAAATCACACCACCTCGATCGTCGAATGAGCTCGATCACAACTCGAATCGATTCCAATTCTCTGTTCACAGATTCACGCCCAGTTTAGGCAACCGAACCTGGCTTTGAGTCCATGTTAGAATTCATAGCTTTCGGTATTTAGTTTTATGAAGATTTTGAGTATTTGGAAAGAAGGAAAGTTGCAGAGAAAATGCAACTATGGTGCTGAGAAAATAATGAAGGTTCTGATATTCATTTTCATACGCCACTATTCAAATATAACTGTTAGGAGAGAGAGAAGTGAGTTGCTTCTCTAACAGATTTACACAAAGATTAAATCCTAGCCTTTGATCCTATCATCCTATGAGATGATTCCACTTGTCATAATCTAACACTTAGATCCTAGGCTAGAGAAGAGACCACTTGGACTATGATCCAATGTCTCATATTACATCAGGAAATTAAATCTTATAAAATGAAAACTAGCTCAAGGGTTACACATCAACACATCTAACCTTGCTAAAGGACCTCAGCGCCCGGAAGACATCAAGTTGATTCAATTTTTGTCATTAGCAATTTGACATCCTCTATGAAAATCAAACACAAGAAACCTTGGTTGTTCCCCCCATTTCCTTATGCCAATATGCCCTCTATACTTACCTTTGTAGTCGATCAATCATATATGTGTTTAAAGCTATTGATCAATGATTCATAGCTCTTCAACCCGGCCCTATAGGTCGTAGCAATTTTAGCAAAGCCCTGCAGAGTATTTTATATATATCAGGAGATCATAGCACTAATTAATACATAAGCATTCACTTGGTCTAGAACTTAATTAATCTGCAATTCAAAACGAACTAAAGTCACTTCTCATCAATCGCATTAGATATGGATGATTGTAGTCTAAGTCACTGCTCACATGCCCCACCCCATCTTTTCAGAAAAGGAAAAAGTTGGTGTTAATAATACGTTATAAATATGTAAGCCTAAAGTAGAACTTTAGCCTACCCTCACGCCTAACTTTAATTCCATGTGCTACAAGAATATCTGGTTTTGTCCATACATATATGAATCCGAAATTTATCAAACAAATGATACAGAATATCAGTTAGATATGGTGCAAATAATAACACATTAGCATCAATTGTTGTTGTTCTTGACGTTTTCCAATTAGATAGAATTATTCTCATCAATAATCTCCTCAATTGTGATGCCAAAGTTCTCACCACCGCCAAGGTCAAGGTATACTAGTTGCACACCGCAGGCTTTCAATAATATTGGTTCGGAGGGAAGAAATCTAACTTCACACTTGTACATGATCTCCTCTTCATTCCAGTAACGCTTCCAGTGCCTCATATTAGATAATGAAATATATTGCAGCCACACATGATCTGACCCTGGTGATATAATGTGTTCATGAAATGAAAATATTTCATCACCATTGATGAAGACTCTGACATGAAATCCGTATCTCTCGTAATCGTCATAATCGTAAGGGAGTGTGTAATCTATGGTTCCGAAAGCAGCGGAAAAAGCCAATCTTGTGTTCTTCCCGGTGAAATTTGGAGGAAATTTAATGTTGAAGTCACAATAATTAGGATCAGCTGGCTGTTTCCGGTGGCCGAACCACTTTGGAATGTCGTTTCCGGGAAGTATAATGCTGAACTCATAGCACTCGCCGTCCGAAGGTACGTGCTGCTGTAAGGTGCATGACAATATTTAATTAGTGATCATGATGTATTCTATTAAGTGTAATGTTACTTGTTGTATAATCTTAACTGATCATCTAGTATATCGTTTCTCGACTGTAGATATGATATGTTTACTTATGAATGTGAATCTTACATCGGATATAGATGATACATTAGATATATATGTGAGACTATAGATATACATTCTAAACGTGAACTCAAATCTAGATACAATGCACCACATGTCACCTGCGCCTCCTCGATATATCCTGGGAGACAACACATTTGACATGTGGTGAATTTAATCTAATTAAATCAGGTTGACTTCTAACAATACAATTAATGGTAGATGTATATGGGACAGCTCAGAGCGAGAAAGACAAGAACCTGGTGAGTTTGAGAATGGCAAAGTAAGATGGATGCCATCTTTTCCACATCAAGGTCAAGACTCTTGAGTAGTTTGTGGCAGTTAGACAAGTCGCTATACTGAAGAGAACCCTGTGAGTTGTGTTCCAAAATGTTTGAAAGTTTTGAAAATCTTTCCAAAGATTTGCAGCCACCTGTGTTTATTCCTTTTATGCATGGAGAAAGCTGAGGAATTTCTTGAAGCTTCTTGCAATCACGCAATATAAGCCACTCCAAGCTACCAAATGTGCTGGTCCATTCAGGAAGGCTAACAAAACTGCTACCAGATAAATCTAGAAAAGTCAATGTGGACCCACAATTGAATGGCATAAGGAATTCACATTCTGATAAGTTGCAATCTCCGACTCGTAGAAACGTTAGCCTTGGAAACACCAATGAGTTTTGGTAATCATGAGAAACGCTTGATGGATTTTCAGGGTTCACCTTCATGGGAAATGCTAAAAGTTTGGGGCAGCCTCTAACTTCAAGTTCTCGAAGATTTTTCAACTTATAAATGCTGCTCGGAAGATTTCTAAGGTTTTCACAACACACTAAAGTAATGTTCTCTAAGACCATCGTCCCAGCTTCAATTTCCGGAAAACTCTCCAGCATTCTGCAACCTTTCATGTTAAGAATTTTCAGTGATTTTAAGCCAATTCTTGTTGGAAACCTTGTAAGGCTTGAGCAGTTTTGCAGACTCAGAGACACAAGCTTTTCAAGGAACCCAACAGACTCGTGAATCCCAACTAAACTGGTACATTCTCTAAGAAACAATTTCTCCAAGTTTGGGAATCCTGTGAAGTCGGGTATTTCTTCTAGCTTGTCGCACCCAGAGAAGTCCATAGATGTCAATGTTCCCAGTTTCTATAGAAAAGAACAAATGAAAAAGAAAAAAGAAACAACTAGCTGATAAAAAGAAAAAATATAACAATATGAGACATGCAACATAAGATGTCATCACACTGTGAATTAGGACTGCTGATCATGTTATCCAAATTCACAACTTGGCAATACAAGTCTGATAAAAAAATTTTTTAGCTTAGTGTTCACTCAGAGAAATTAGAAAATCTTCAAAATCAATTATGTTACCATAGAACCTTGCCCGAACCGCGATATGTTACTTGAAGGCATCTTTAGGGCAACAAGTTTCTTTGGATGAAAATTGGATGGTAGGGACTGTAAAGGATATCTGTACCAATTTAGCAGCCTTAACTCGTTGGGCAGATCAATATTTCCAGTGAGGCTTGCATTAAGATTTATTAAGTATCTGAGATTTTTCATCCTTGAGAAGGCTTCAGCACTCATGGAGATGTCATTCTTTTTGGGCATATTTATCAGTATGCCTCTAACTTTAGTTGAACCCTATAGCAGAAAGTCCAAAAAAATTAGTTAGTTATAAAAGCCACCAACATATTGTTGTAATTGATATGGATAAAAACATGTTCATCAATACCAAATTAAAAAAGATATTTGACTTACTGTTTGTTCTGTTAGAACATGGTAGACATCCTCGTGAAACCACAACCTACTACGTTCACCTGGTTCTGTAGGTGATTCTTGACGAACGATTTCCTTGCCCATATCTTCAAGTAAGTCATGCATGGTTAACATATTGTGCTCATTAATAACTAAGAGAGACTTATCTATGAGTACTCTAATGCTAATTATGGGGAATAAGTCACAACTTCTCAGTATATCCACGATTTGATCTTTATCTTCTCCTTTGAAAAAACATGCAATGTCAAGGAAAACCTCCTTCTGAAAATGCTCTAATCCATTAAAACTAATCTTGAGTATTTCTTGGATTTCTTTGTTAGGAATTATTTCGTAACTGTCTAATGCATCTTTCCACTCTTCTATGCTTCTGCCACAAAGATGAGAACCTAACACCGTCAAAGCTAACGGAAGGCCTTTTGTGTAGCACACAGCACGCCCAACAAGCTTCAGGTAATCATTTGGAGGCTTGTCTCTCTTAAAGGAGTTCCAACTGAAGAGCTCAGAAGACTCATAGAAATCTAGTTCCTTGACCTTGTATGTTAAATTAACTCCATGAGCAGTTAACAAGTGTTTGTCTCTTGTTGTTACGATAATTCTGCTACCTCGACCAAACCAATTAGATCCTCCTGCTAAGTTATCTAACTGGTGTCGATGATCCACATCATCAAGAACTAAAAGAACCCTTCTATTCCCAAGTCTCGTCTCGATCGTATTAGCTCCTTGATCGACACTTGTCACCTTGAATTTTCTGTTGCCCCCCAAAATATCAGAAAGAAGAGTTTTTTGCAATTCGACCAAGCCATGTGGCATTGACGACATTTCTCTCACATTTGCCAAAAAACAATTTCCTTCGAATTTATGGGCAATAGAGCCGTAAACAGCTTTGGCAATTGTTGTCTTGCCTATCCCACCAAGTCCCCATATCCCAATCATTCGAACATCATTTTCCCCAAGACTTAGAAGCTCATCCATATCTCGTACGCGAGATTCTAACCCTACCGGATACTTAGCAACTTTCAAGTATGTACGATTTGATGTTTGAAGGGAGATCTCTTCCACAATATTGTGGATAAACTTAGATTCATGCCTGCCAAATCAAAAATTAAGGAAGAATAAATGAGTTGGGGATTTCTCTATTCGTTAAAATACAAAAGAGAGAAAGAAGCTGAGAGCCGAAAAACAAAAAGAAAAATGACATGAAGTACATTTTCAAAATCAAATGTGTGAGAACTGAATCTATATATATAAAGCAAAAAGCAGAGAATGGTGAAACATTCAAAAATACCAGAAAATATCATTTGTTAATTCAAACATTAAGAATTGAAATTATTAATTAAATGAGGATAATATGGTAAATTCACATTTTATATATTAAAAAATTAAAATTAAAAACAAAATCAAATAATATGTCATACTTTT